GAACAGTTCCCCATTCCCATTCCCTGCAGGACAAGCCAGATGGGACATGGTAAAGAGCTAATACTGAGGCTTGGAGTGTGGTTTGCAGAGGGGTCGTGGCCACACAGCAAGAAATCACTGTGAGCTAAGCCTAAAAATCATAATTTGGATTATTTTGAATCCCAGCACCTGACTAGTAAATGCTCAGGAAGTGTTTGGCATTACCAGTGCCAATTCTTTTCCCATGGCTGATTATCCATTCTAGAATCAGCCCAAGATGTGAAATTGAAAGGAGCATCTCATTTGCTTCCCATCCCATTGCAAAATAGCTGGTAACTAGTCCACAAAGGCAGAGCTCATTCCATGGGGAGGGAATTCAGCAGCTCTCCCCCAGCAGCCTGGACTGCATTGTGAAACCCTCAGTAATGATGGTGTGTGCTGAGCCTGAGCTCCAGTGGGGACTTGTTTGCAAACTCCCAAAGGAACTGAGCTCAGAACAAATATTATTCCAAACAACCAGTTCTCCCAGCTGGAGGGGGAGCTGGGCATACCTCAGCCTTGAAAAGGGGATGTGTTTCCCTATCAGAGCTAGGAGCCAGTCCCTGGTACTGATTTGGGGGTACAGGACAGACTAGGAGCTGTGCCTCACCCTCTGAGAGTCTTCATAGTGTCCTTTTCTGGCCCCAAACCACTCACTGACCAGTCAGTCTCCTTGTTCTGATTTGGGGGCTGGACATCTCAGAGGGTTCAGGACAGACTAGGAGCTGTGCCTCACCCTCTGAGAGCATCTGTGATGTCCTTTTTTGGCCCCAGTCACACACTGGTCAGTCCCTGGATCTGATTTGGGGGGTCAGGACAGAGAGGGGACTGTGCCTCACCCTCTGAGAGCCTCCATGGTGTCCTTTTTTGGCCCCAAACCACTCCTTGACCAGTCTCCTTGTTCTGATTTGGGGGCTGGACATCTCAGAGGGTTCAGGACAGACAAGGAGTTGTGCCTCACCCTCTGTCCTTTTTTTTGGCCCCAATCACACACTGGCCAGGACAGAGAGCAAGGGCAGAAGGTTGGAGTGATGGGAACTTGTAACCAGCCCCAAACTGGAGAGTTGTTGGCATTTGCCACCACAGGAAACAGTTCAGTGAGTCCTGGGCCAGCCCCAAGGGAATGAGCTTTGGACTCCTGACATGCTTCTTGCAGGCAGGAAGAGCTCAGACCTAAGCCCAAGTATTTTTGCAGCCAAAATGCATTTTGCTGAGCTCATGGGGAGGGAAAGGACAAGTCAGGAGTAGGCAGAGAGGAAGGGAGGGATGGAGGGAGGACAGAGAGAAGGAACTGGTGAGAATGTGCCCTCTGAGTGGCTTAAGCTGAGGGTTGCATTGCATTACATGTGTGTTATTTATCCTAAGGTTATTCTACCCAACTGCTGCAACCACACCAAGCAAAACCAAGGCAGGAGTGAAGAATTCTACTCCAATCTCCTTTTATAGTAACACCCCTTGCTTTCTCCAGCCCCTGAAATAGAAATCAAAACAATCAAATGAAACCTAAGTCTAGTTTAAAAGAATCCAGGGAGTTTTAGGAACTGCTGCTCCCTCCCTAAGGAAAGAATCTTCCTGTGCAGCTTTGTGTTAGGTGAGAAATTGCAGTCTTTTTTGAATTAATTAAAATAGTGAATTTTTTTCTAGTTCTTGAGCCTGTTTGCAAGGGAGAGGACACTGTGGGTACACAGGGGAAGGCTCTTTGCAATCCACTGCTCTGAGAACAGGGAGATCACAGCTGTGAGCTCTGATTCCTCCTGCACCTTTCTGCCTTTATTACATTCTTTTCTCATCCATCCAAATAATCCCAACCATTAGGGGCCAAAATCCTATTTTCTGACCATCTTCTTGCCTGCTTTGTTTAGTATTTACTTGACATTTGTGAGCAATAGGCCTCCTCACTCATGGGGCAGGGGAGTCCAGTTGTCAGCAGAAACAAAATGTTCAAGCAGGTAAAAAATGAAGCTGGAAGGAAAGAAAGGAAATCTTCTCTGACACCACACCTCCCTGTATTCCTCCCTGGCACAGTGTCCCCTTTGCACAAACACAAGAGCTCTGCAGCAATGGGGACTGGGTATTTTTTGTGATTCTAAAATTACAGGGATTGTTTGAATAATGCCATAAAGTCCAGACAGCACAACACATTCCATGAGCAGTCACACAGCCAACAGCAACACTGGGAGGGGAGTCCCTTCTGAGAGCAAGTGGGTTCCTGCCTGGTGTACCCAGGTAGGACTTTTCCTTGCTGGGCTGAGCAGGTGTCTAACCACCACATGTTCACTCAGGGATTTAATGATGGCCAAAACCTCCAGGTGATGGTCACACCCATTACATGGAATCACAGATTCAATCAGATTGGAAAAGGTCTCTGAGATCATCAAGTCCAACCTATGACCTAACACCACCATGGCAATTAGACTATGGCAATAAGTGTCATGCCCAGTCTGTCCTTATACTCCTCCTGGCTAAGTGCTCTCCCAGCTGCCCCAGGGATGCCACATGGACCTTCCTGGGGATCTCTAGACCTATCCTTTCCATGAGGTCAAAGGCTGAGAGAGTAAAATCATGGAATTATCAAGGTTGGAGAAGACCTCTAAGGACACCAACTGCAACCATTAACCTGTCACTGCTGGAACCCCCAAACCAGATCCTCAAGTGCCTCCAGACACTTCTTAAATACCTCAGGGATGGTGACTCCACCACCTC